AGCAATACTAGAACCCCTTAGTTGCAAACCAATCTTTCTGTTGGCTTTTTTTGGCTTTCGAAGGTTACTTTCGTGATTATGAGCGTGCCAGCAAGGATCAATCAGTCCTTACAAAATTGCCAAACAATTATTCAGACGATTGTGTTATGGTTCTTTCGGCCTCAATAAAGAGGACTTTTACTGGTGGCTTACTGGTAATTTAACTTCAGAAAATTTAACATAAGAACAGTTAACTAAACTGGAGTATTTCATTAGTATAAAAAGAACTTACAATGGTATCAGTTCCGTAGAGAATTACAGCGGCAATATACTCGACAACTACTCCTACAAATGAAGTGCAGCGCAGAAACTTAAAATACAGGAATATAAAGGACAGGAAATAACACTGGAATATGTAAAGTGATTCTTTAGATTTTTCTTCGTCCCCTTCTCTGAAGTCCTTCTTGCTACTTATACTCTCCGAAGATAACCATCGAATTGTACTTCAAACCGTCGAACTGCTCCTCCGTAGTTGCTGATCATGCTACCTTATAAGTAGTTCCACTACGCCTTCACTTGCAGTTAGGCTTCCCCCTTATATTCAAATTTGAAATGTGAGCAACCGTTGAAGCCACGTCACTGTACGTCTCTTTGTTGATCTGCTACTACTCAGATCTTATAACAACCAATATTAATTGCCACGTGTATGATCAGGATCAAAGACCTACCTGGTCTCCCCATATTACCCTCACTTCGCCACGCGTCGGATTGTCACTGGCTTAGTACAAAATGTGTAGCCAACACTTTCATTCCAAAGAATCCTCGATTGGTAACATCAAAATATGGGCTAATAAACCAAGCAAACTACAAACCCAGTCAATCATTTTAAAGATACACTAGCAAAAAAGGTTCAATAAGTTATCTTAATCCATCTTAATATGCATTCCATTAAAAAAGAGTGATGTATGAAAAGAATGAAAGATATAACTTTGAAAATGGTGACTAGCAAAACTGTATCCATGTTATAGACCTAAAGTAATTTATGTTAAATGTTTCTCAAGTAGGCTTTCAGATTTGCAAATTGCAAAAAGAATTCAAAAGCTAGTAGAAGCCAGGCTTTATGAATCTTTGAGCAATTTACTGAAACAAGATAGTGGCTATGCTTTCTATTTCTAGCAAAGAGCAACTAATATAGCAATGTAGGAATTGCACAAGGAACATTTCCGTGATCAATCTTCTTGCTAATAGAGATCAGTCTCAACCCATCTAATTTATACCAATAATTTCATCCTAGTGTAAGAGAAGAGGTACCATTTCCCCACACCACCATTGTCTGTTCTTTGTCATCAGCCCCTTATTGCGTTGTCGTCGGTGTCGCGATCTTGCCTCCACTCTCACTCTCACTCACTCTGCTATACCCACTGCCCTCACCGACCACTCCCTATCGACCGCTGTCGACGCCCTTGCTACTATCACCAGAGTGTCACCGCTTGGCCACCACCTGCGTCTCATCTCGCTCTGCTGCTACGTTGTTGCCACAATTACAGCTTGCCACCCATCAACACCCTGTCGCACCACCCTCCTTTCTCTCTCTCTTTCGCTATTGTTGCCCTACCAACCGCAACTACACCGTAGTCTCCCCTTCATCTCCGGCGTCCCACTCTCGCCAACCATCCTCCTCATTCCTCTCCTACACCGTCGCTCTGTCTACCTCAGGTCCCCGATCTGTCTTAAGAAGAATCACTATGAGGACGAAAACAAGTCTCGAAGTGAAGCTCTGTGATGAAGAAGATGAAGTGGCCCTGAGAGATAAATAGAGACCTGCCATTGGAAATCACAGAAAATGAAATTTCTCCGAGTTGAAGAGAATTTCTCTAGAAAGGTTTCTCTAGGAATTTCTCTGTTTTGAGAGATTTTTTTTGGGTTGAAGTTAATTTCTCTAAAAATTCTAGAGAAATTCTTCCCAAAAGAATTTTTTTTTTGTAAATTCCAGAGAAATTCTCTGGATCAAATTTTCTCTGAATCAATTTGAGGGACCTTAGATATTATTAAAATATTTGATATCTTTTATGCTATAAAATCTTAATACCAAGGACCCCAAAAAAATCCCTTTTTTTTTAATCTAAAAGATTTGTATATTTTCATCAAATAAAATCAACAAAAAAAGAGTAATTTACTCATTAAACTGAATGTAGTTATATATAAAATGTTTAAAGTATTATTTTTTTATTCAATTTAATGAGAAAATTATTTTTTTTGTAACAAAAATAAATAATTGATTTAAATTCAAAATAAATTTAAATTGACAAAATTAAAATTTTAAATTTTATTTTGTTACAAAGTTCAAGCTTTAAATTTTTTTTATAATTTCCCCAACAAAATTTTAGATGAGGAAGACAATTATATTTTTGTAAAAATTATAGTATTAAGTAATTAATCCAGTGTTAAATTAAATTTGTTATGTCCTGTTATAGTGTTCAAAAATGATATTTTATAGGACGAATTAGACTAACAGTCCCTATAGTTTGAAGGTCATATCACTTTGGTCCCTGACTTTTCAATTGTGACACATTTGACCCTGAATTTTGAATCTTGTTTCAAATAAAGACAATTGAAGATACCATTACTTAATTGCAATGGTAAAATTGTCAATTAAATAAAATATAAATTAATTTGACAAAAATAAATGTCAAAAAAATATTTTTTAATTTTTAAAAATTATTTCTATCAAGCAAAGATAAAATTATGTAAAATTGATAAATCTTTTAGACATTTATTTATTTTTAACCAAATTAATTTTTATTATGTGTTTGGATGATGATCATGTAATGGGTGATTGTTAAGATTTTAATATGTAGTGATAAATTTAATATATGAAATATTTTTAGTTTTGGATTTTTTGATTTCATGGATTGGTTTAATAATGATATCAAAATTGTCATCATATTTGATTTTTGAAAAAATAGAAACTAATTTAATGAAAATAAAGACAACCACCCATTACATGATCATTATCCAAACACATAATAAAAATTAACTTAGCAAAAAAATAAATAAATAAATAAATGTCTAAGAGATTTATCAATTTTACATAATTTTATTTTTAGTGGGTAGAAATAATTTTTAAAAATTAAAAAATATTTTTATAGCATTTAGTTTTTGTCAAATTAGTTTATATTTTATTAAATTGACAATTTTGCCCTTAAAATTAAGCAATTGTATCTTCAATTATCTTTATTTGGAACAAAATTTAAAATTCAGGATCAAAACGACACAAGTTCCAGACTATAGGGATTATTAATGTAATTCGCCCTATTTTATATATATCATATACCAAGGATTTAGAGAACCAATTAGCAGCAACATTTGATCTCAAACAAGTAATCAATTCTTGGCAATCTGTTTGAACTAAAGCTACTTTGAGATTTCGGCAACAACACTATTGTAGTTTGTCCATACACCCACAGGCTTCGACTTCATAGAAAAATGCTTTGTAGCTTAAATTTGTGTGGCCTAAATAGCTCGATTATATTAAAATGTTGTTGTTTTATACTCAAAACGATGTCATTTTGAGACATTCGAGCTATTCAGACCATAAAAATTTGAGCTACCAAGCATTATTGAACTTCCTAAGCTGAATGCTCTTGGAATGAAAAGGCCCTAGATGCCACCTTCCATCCATTTCTATTAATCGCCACCCACGCCGCTGTTGCTTGTTCCGTCTCTTTATACTGTGAACCATCAACCAAAAACACAGCAAAAGCAGGATCTACATATCCAATTATAGTGAGAGACACGTTATGGTTTGAATTGATATTTATTAAAATGTTGTTTGGTTATGCTTTATTATAGTGGTTGAAATAATAAATTGTCAAATCAAAATTTATTAAGTCTTATTTTTTATTATGTTGTTTGATCAGAGTTAAATTGAATACTTTAAGACATAAGATGTAAATAAGAAATACTTACTAATGTTATTATAATGAGTTATAACCAGTATTTCTTTAAAATATAATCAAACACCAGAATAAGTCCTAATAATTTTGTTTTAATAACTTGTTCGCTCCACCACCATAATATCCCCTAATCACTTTAAAATATAATCAACCATAATAATTCTTAACCAATTTTATTTTAATAATTTACTTGCACCACCACCATAATATCCCATAACACAGCACCACAATAGTTTGAAACCATTACCAATTTTGATTATATTTTGCATGTGGTATGTATGACAAGGATTGTAGCCTAACCTTTTCAAATATTGTGTTAGGTTTGTAAATTTAAGTTGAGGTTTGAAAAAGATATGAGAAATGAAAGAAAAACTTGCTCCTTTATTCACAATTTTTCACTCACATTTTTTCTTTTCCTTTTCAAATCATAGTTTAAATCTATCATCCAAACATAACGTAAGTAGGCAGACAATTTGCTTCCATCAACCCCACATCCCCAAAAATAGAAATTAAAGATTTTTTGGTTTTTTTTTTTTTGGGGTGGGTAAGTCATAAATTAAAGACAAAAGTTTACACATTTACAAAGGGCATACCCCAGGTAATACAACAAATCTCACTCTGCCCTCCAAAGAAGGGGGGACGACTAATACAGATAATAAGAAAATAGCTAAGTAAACAATCCCTGCAATTGCAGGGTACCCAACAAAAGAACACATGAATAAAACTCAAAATTGCCCATATATCCTTTTTTGTCCCCAAGTTAGCCTCTACCATCAAAGATAGTAGATGGAAACTTGGGGAAGATATATGGGCAAGTATACAAAGAAAGAGCACATAACTACGTGAAACCATTGAAACATGCAAAACAAACAGACCACCAACAGTCACTAGTAGCACACACAATCAAGGCCTATCACCATCATGAAAGCAATCACCACATCCCCAGTCCCAACCTTCGCTAATCAATCACGAATTTAATTATCAATCTAACAATAAATTCATATAAGAAAATTCTTATATGACATTCAATAACTCCACTCATTCATAAAAAAATAAGATGTAAAGAATCTCCAACAAGCATTTGAGATCATAATTTGCTACAACAATATTCAAAGAGCAACATGTAATGCTTCAGTGTACAAAGATTTAAAAATACCAAGTACATCTTGTTTATGCTAAGGGAAATAGTAACATATTGAATCAAAGCAAATGCAAAAGGACTCAGTTTGGTTTGCCTAGGACTTCAACTGCATGTTGAGCTTGTTGCCGAGTATATTTCACAGGCCCTTAAAAGCTTGCTTCATATGATATGTGATCAAAAGGATAGGATTCCTCCACACACCCTCTGATTGATGATCAATTAGTTGAATATCCAACCTTGATCTCCTATTTCTTTACAAGACACAGTAGTTGAAGGACGTTGCCATAAAGCTTTTATCAACATCAACCCAAAAACATTGGTTTCACCTAGCCTTACCTATACAAAATATATATATTCAGATAGTAACTACATCAGTATTTAAAGATTCAACAAGTGAGCTTTTGTATTGAAAACATGCCAACCTTTGAGAGGAGAATGAAGAAGAAGACTGATATTTGCAATCATAAATAAACATACAGGAGCCTAGCGCTGAGTCAACACTAACAAAGATCACATTTTTCTTTGACTAGACATTTAAATGATATCTGAATGTATTTTTGATTTTTTTTTTTCCATCTCTAGAACATACTAGCAATGAAATCTGGTCTTCTACACCTATAACTAGTAACATAGTTCAAACTGAAAGCAATGCAAGGGGGAATGCCAAAAACAACCAGGATTAAGGAGATCATAAGGTGCATATCGTTCATAATCCACCATAGCGCCACAACTAACCCACAGATATGACCTATCTAAGAATTGCAACAATGGGTTTGTGAAGCTCACCCAATAGATGAGGTATGACTTTGTTAGTTGAATTTTTCAACAAGAAGTCAGTGTATTTGCTCAACTAGGTGAAAATAAAAGGGTGACGATACAAAATAAACTAGCCAGGATTTAGTTTAATTTTTTTTTTCCATTGACAGGTAGTTGTGTGCATTGTTTCAGCTAAAACATAATAAAGTTAGTTTCTGGACCTGGTTGCAGCGGCGGCTTAACACGCCAAGGTCACACTTCAACAACAAATTCATCAGGAATGAGCATATGTTTATCCAAATATCATAGACTAGAACTTGATTTCAGAATAGATGATTTTATTATTAGATATTCCTCTAGTATAGCGAGAATCAATATGTCATTACTATCTTAATTTTCTCGTTATGTTCTTGCACAAGTAGCAAATATCATTTTCCACAGCCGTAGGACCAAGGAAAGAAAACAAATACCTGAACCCACCCTCTTTCTCAATTGCAACATACACTGTAGGATGTTCTTACCAACATTACAATTATCTTTTGAAGAATCAAGTGGAAGAAGTGATTTTTGGAGCTGGTCATTGGTTCATCAACAGGGTGGTGAGCCTGTAATTCTTCCCATTTTCCCTTTTCGGTGTTGATTATCTCCACACACAGGTTAAACTAATGTTGGGGGGCTGGGGCACGGGTGTTTCAGGTCAAATATATTTGCAAGAATTATCCAAAAACAACTATAAAAATGGCATACTAAGGCACAACCACAACACATCCAGAGTGGAACTCTCTAATTGTTGCTTCGATCCTTGCAGTTACAGCAACTCCTGAGCTTCGTCTGCATTGAACTTCAGTTCTTGTACAACTTTGTTCCTGAAAAATGCTTCTAGCTTTCTTGGTAGATATGCCTCAGCAATTAGCTTCTCACTGTTTGCATTAGAGGTCAAAGGGCTGATAACGAAACTGTATTTACAATCTCATATAGCAACCAGTGGCTTGTTTACATGGGAGAATCCTTAGTACTAATTTGTCAACCACTATCAGGACAGCAGCCATTGCTTTTCAAGAAATATTTTCTCTGTTCTTACTTTCAAGAGAGAGAGAGAGAGAGAGAGAGAGAGCAACTTCCTAGATACATGGACTTTATTCTTGTAACACACAAAATTGGAAGGTTTACAAGTAGAATTATTCTCAAATACTACAGGTAAATTGCTGGGTGTTGGCCCAACTCAACATCCATCAGGAAAGGAGGGTCGTTCAGGCCCCTTCAGCCTAAATTATATCCATTGGGCTGCATTTGGTATTGTGAACAAAACATATAGAAATCAGCAACATAGATCACTTTTGCCCCATTTTAACAAATTTAGCTCACAATCAAAATTGTATAGTTTAGCTCCTTTACATCGTTCATCAAAAACAATAGGAAAATATATTCAAAAATTGATAATAAGTACTCAATTAGTGAGCAACATCATAAGAGAATCTATAAGTTATTAAGCAACTTCTAGCTATTAATAAAACTAAAAAATTCTCAAAAATAAAAATGATGCTTACCTTGCTGAAAAGGCCCATACACAACCCTATTGTAGTGATCATTATGCAACATGTTGTTAATAAAGCTTTTAAATTTTTTTTTTCTACAACCCTACTGTAGTGATCATTAATCAATATGTAGTTGATAAAGCTTTAAATTTTTTTTCCCTTTATGTAAATGTAGTGATCATCCCCTATGCATTTAATTTTTACCATATTTTTCAAAAAAACAAATTCTTCAATAAGGTCATCCTAGTGTAAGAGAATAGGTATAATAAAACCCAACCAATGTTGTTAATATCATAGCAGTTAGTCTACCATTTTTGAAATTAGCCTGGTATGTATCAGTGCAGACAAGAATATCATAATGCAATATATATATATATATATGAGTATCACCTAATAATAGACTTTTTGTGATGATAATTGGCTACACGTTTTAGCATAATGTAGCCTTACCTTCACAGCTTAAGAAATTTACTCAGTCTCTTGCATTCCATGACCATCTTTGTGCATGAACTTCTTTATCACTTCTTGGAGAGCATGATCTTGTCCTTTAGTTGAGAGTATATCGACAATCAAGGGAAAAGTGGATGCATCTGCTGAAAAACTCCTTTAAACCATTTCCTCAGCGAGTATTAATGCCTTATAGCACTTGTGTTGTCCAATAAATCCTCGGATAATAGTGTTGTAAGTGACACCATTTGGCAAACAACCATTCTGTTCCATTTTAACAAACAACTCTTTAGCTTCATGTAGTAGGCCTTCATCACAAAGACCTTGTATCATAATAGTGTATGTCTTAACATTAGGTTGTAATCCTTTGGAAGAAAGCTTACTAAAAAGGGCCCTTGCAGTATCAAGCTTTTTATCTGTGCAAAATGCATCAATGAGAATACTGTGCATAACAACACTATGATCTAAACCGTTGCTTTCCATCATGTGGGATAATGACAATGCTTCAGAAATATGCCCAATTTTGCACAATCTATCCAATAAGATACCATAAGTTTGAGAATCTGGAATTATGCCTACAGTTTGCATCTCATTAAAAAATTCCTGAGCAGCTCCACATCTACCAAATTGAAACAAGCCCTATAGGATAACACTGAAGGTTTCAATGTTAGGTTTCAACCCCCTCCGAGGCATTTCTGGAAAGAGATGCATGGCCTCATCTATTTTCATCTTCTTGCAATATCCGTTGATTAGAATGTTATAGCTAACAACATCTGGAGGCCCCCATCCACTATGGTATTGAACACTCTGATTGCTTTATCCATGTGGCCTTGCAAACAATATCCATTCATTAGAGTATTGTATATGACTACATCAGGATCCACACCTCTTTGTATCATGACTTCAAGTACCCCCTCTGCCTCTTTTGCTTTCCCTTCCTTTGTAAGTGCATCCATGAACACACTAAATGTACGAACATTCGGAGCAATCCCAATATCCAACATTTCCCTTAACATTTTTGTAGCCTCATCCCATCGGCCAAAATTACACAGGCCACGAATCAAAGAGTTGTAACTGACTAACATCCGGGAAAATACCCTTTTCATCCATTTCTGTAAAGAGTTTCACAGCATCGTCCACCATTCTATCCTTGCAAAGACTGTCAATGATTGTGTCATGCACTACGATGCTCGGTTTACATCTTCCCTCTTCCATAATCCTAAGCAAACTAACAGCCCTGCTAGTGTTCCCCGTTCTGTAGAGGCCATTAACAATGGTTCTATACATAACGACATCGGGCTGAATTTCTCTCATTCTGATTAATTTCTTAAATAACTCTATAGCTTCAGGGGTTTTATCTTCCAAAATATGTCCATTACTCACAGTTGTGAAGGTTGTTGCATTTTGTGTATAACCACATTTGAAGAGGGAACCTAACAGGGAGAAGCCAAAATAGACTTGATTAAGGCGGCAATAACAGTTAATAGCAATGTTGAAGGTGCAGAGATCGACCTGAATGCCTTGGAACTGTAGCAGCTTGTTGAGAATAAGAGAAAGAGAGATGTCGTAATGACCCATTTTCGTAATAGGCCCTAAAGCTTTGTTGAATTGAGAAATAGGGGGCAAAGGTCGCATTTGGAGAATGCGATTGAACGAAATTAAAGCAGATTGAAGATGATTGGGACCCAAATTGCATGGTTGTTTGGGTATTACAGCAGCAGCAGCAGGAGATTAAGGAGAAGTAGGGCTTGTGGTGGTGTTAGAGAGAGAACGAAAGAGATGAAATAAGAATGAGGGAAATATTGTACCTTCACACACGCGTCTCCACTAGACACAAGTAAAAATACTTTTAATTTTTGTTACGGGACAAGGTAAGTAGTTCTATCTACACCAAAATGAAGGGGTAGTTTTTCGAGATACGGTGACATTTAATTTCTTACCTGTACACAACGAAATATAAATTAAGTATAAAATAAAAATAAAAATATGGTGGGTCAGCCCTGCATAAAAAGCTAGTAAGACCCAAAGAAATATAAAAATATGGTGGGTCAGCCCTGCAAAAAATAAAGTTAGCATAATTTAATCACAAGTAACTTACTAAACAAATATAAAAATGCATCATTTCATACTTAAATAATTCGAATTGACTGAAACTCAAAGAACAAAAGTTGTACAAAATCAAATTTCCTAAAAGATAGCACAAACAAATTTAGTAGAAACTGAACAGGTTGAGAGAAAAACTTGATAGAAGAAACTAGACAGAATTCAACCGAAAAATCTGATGCTGAAAACGAAAAGAAACTACTCTAAGATGATTTTTTTCAGGAAAGTTCAGAATATGAAAAGTGTTGAAAATAATGTTTTACTTCAATTTACGCGAAACCAATAAAAATGAGATCGTTTCTTGGATTAAAACAGCATCTAAAATCTGCAATACTGAAATAAATAAAAACTGTTGTAACAAAGATCATCCGATTACAAGTTCTAATCGATCTTTTTAATAAAAAGTTAAAATATAAAAGTTGTCTAGAATCACGCATAGATGCCTTTGCTTAAATTTCATAATTTATTGAGGTCATTTACAATTTTTCAAGATGTACAAATCAATACAATTCACATTATAACAATATAGCGATCCCGGTTTTACCCCGACCTTTGTTGTGTTCCGAACTCGGATTCAGTGATTGTATGTTGTTTTCTATGTCTTGTTTCCTTCCTTTAATTCTTTGAACTTGAGTTTTGGGGCATGTTGGGTGAGTTTGGAACAGGTTGGTTGTCAGTTGGTATAATTGGTTGCTGCCTAGGTTTTGGCTTCTTCGCTCGAGCGAGGCTTTTTGCGCTCAAGCGAGCCTTAGGTATTTGCTTCTTCACTGGAGCGAGGTTTCTTGTGCTCAAGAGAGCATTGAGAGTCCTCAGGTTTCTTTCTCAGATGCAGCTTTCGCTCGAGCGAGCATTCTTGCGCTCGAGCGAGCCTTGTGTTATTTGTTCCTTCGCTTGAGCGAGTATTCTTGCGTTTGAGCGTGCGTCTGCATTTGTGGTAGACCAAAAGCTTTGCATTGTGCGCTTGAGCGACACTTCTTGCGCTCGAGCAAGGTCACTGGTTGTGTCTGGTCACTCGAGCGACAACTCCTTCGCTCGAGCGAGCCTTGTATATATCAGTTCGCAGCAGCGTGATTTTATATCACTTTTTGATCTCTTTTTCACTCAAAACCCTAATCTGGCTGTCTCTCTCTCTCTAAAACCCTCTCTCTTTCTACAATTACTCCATGATCCAGAGCCCTTCTACCCTACTTCCTTTGTTAAAAAGAGAGAGTATCGCGTGGGCTTCCTTTTGATCTGAAAAAGTTCAAGTTTGGGGAATCTTCAAGTTTTTCCTTCTTCCTCTTTTAGCTTCTCCATTTAAGGTGTGGATATTCTACTCTTTAATATGAGTTTTAACCTAGATATTTGTCATTTTGTATAAATGGTGGGATTTGGGAGGATTTAGGTGAAGTTAAAGTTAGGGTTTTGATATTTGAAAGAGGGGTTTTCCATTTTGGTACCATATGTGTATAAGAGGTCTTGAATATGTTATTGCTTGGGTATAATTGGTGAAATTTGGTTTTGGGTGTAATATTTGTGAAAGGGGGAAGATTGCCCTAATTTGAATTAAATAAATTATTGGTGTAAATAATGGAATTGTTATGAGAAATATGAAATTGGAAGAATGCACAAATAAGATATGTAGTTGGATTTGATAAATCACTCATCTATGGAAAATATGATAAATTATCTGTTGATGGATTTATTTATCTATTTAGAAATATTTGTTTTGGGCTATCGGTGGAGGATAGTTGTGATTGTTGTAGAAACTGCATGAGGACTAGGTAAATTGAAACTAGTCATATGGGTATTGTCATTGAATATGACGGTTTGATTAAACCATTGAATATGTGTTGTGATTAGTCATTATATATGACAAAGTGTTTAAATACATTGTATATGTATCATTGTTTGGGAGGAGATATGGGATGTACTCTATTGTTTGGGAGGAGATAGGGGATGGACTCCATTGATAATTAAGTTGGTCGGAGTGTTCAAAGTGAAAGTCCTGAAATCTTATATATTTATAGGTGTCGGTTCCCTCGGACGTGGTTCCGTAAAATGGCAAGAAATAGAAGTGTTGGATTGATGAATGTGTTAAATTGTGAACCATTGAGTTCTAGTCTCATATTGGTTGATTTGATAATAATGAATTTGGTTAATTGATTTACTCGAAATGGAAGAATGGAAATGAATTGAATATTGGTTAACTATATTGAATGACCTTGAAAAGAATTTGTGTTGATTAAGAAAGTTGCACATTTGTCTGGTGCTTATATCTTAGTTAATTCTTATATATGGTTTAGCATATCTCTACTGGGATTTGGCTCACCCTACTTGGGAAACCATTTTCAGGTACAGGTGACATGCCACCTTCGAGGGCATAGCTTGGAAGGCTTAGGGGCTGAAGGCTCCACTTTTGTGATTTCGTTTTTGAGTTAAATGTTTATTCAAGCCAAGGGCTTTACTTGTATAGAGACTAGACTCTTCTTTTGTTGTAACCAAGCGAAGTCTTGGAAAGATATAAGCCCTTAGGGCATTTTTTTTGTTGTTCTCAATTAGAGTTACATGCTATAGTTTCAAGATGAACATTTATGAAAGTGTAACACATGTAATATCTTTTGTAATATAGACTCTGATGAATGAAATATAACATTTCTATTATGTCAATGAATCTTATGAATGGCTGATTTATATAATATTTTGAGGGCGTTACCAACAATAAACTCATATTTAATTCTTTGTACCTTAACTCCACCACTTGGGCCTTTCACTTATGGCCTACACATATATCCCATGTGCCTCCTGTATACCTAACACCGCTCCGAAGCCAAACTTGCTCGGGGATATCGTCTCGAATTTGACCCACACTCCCCGGATGGTTAGCATATACGTACGCGCGTAAATCAAAGCACTCGTCTTGTCACGACCCAACCCGGTACCCAGAGGTTTGGCGTCGCAATAAGATAAAATAAAACAATACAAAAATTTCTGCAGTGGTAGTGCAACGAATAAATTAAATAAATTAAAGAATAATTGGGTACCGAAAGTTTATTAAAAAGCAAAAAAACAAACATAGTCATTTGAACTTTATTGTATTACAAGAGTCTGACAAAAAAAAAAAGAAATAAAACAAAACGATTCAGTGATTCATTCTTCATTATGATCCCACTAAACCTCGTCGCCTGAAAGGGGTAACAGCTATAAGCAAATAGCAGAGTGAGAAATATTATACTGTGAGTATAGGGGCACAAAATAGCCATGGATAGTTATTTAAGCTAAAACATTAACATAATTTAAGTTGAATACACAAATTAAGTGGTAGAAATTGAAATAGATAATTATAACCACGGTACGAAACAGAACATAATGGGGGTCACTAGAGTGACAATCTGAACATGGGTCAATGGATCCATGACAAACAGGGGACCACAAGGTGGTCAAACAGGGACCTATGGTTATTTAAGCCCCCAAGGCATGAGACTATCGTAGTGGTACTTACAGAAAATAATTGTTTACCAGATCATTATCAAATAATTTCTAAAATTTAAACAAACATATCCATGGATTTTAATTTAAGCAAATAGAATTCAAAAGAAATAATCCACGTAATTGAAACATTAACCTAATCATAAATTATATAAAATGAATTGTGATAACTCAAAACATTTATAAAATATATTAAGGTAACTCAAGACATGTAAAAAACATATTATAATAACTCAATATATAATAAAACTCACCTTAATATTAACCCTTAGCTTTCACGTTTCTAATTGCCTTCCCACCTCGAGAGCCTCCTCTTTCTTCTACTATATTATAGTCTTTCCACTTCTGCTTACTGAAACTGAGGCCAAAGAATGCCTATTTATAGTCGAATTGCATGGGATGTGGGCATGGAAACGACACGTGGCCATGCCACGTGTCTCCTGGCCCACCGATTCCATTCCCCGGATTTACCCCCTGTTTTGGATAATTCCTACATTGAAGAATTTATTTATTTATTTATTATGTTATTCCAATTTTAAAAGTCATAATTCCTAAATTACTTATAATTATACGTTAGATTCGTGTCTAAAAACCTCACCACCAAACTATAAAACATCACTACCATTCTTTTTTAACGTGTGGTAACTCACAATTTATTTCTTTAACAATTTAATCGATAAATTCCTAATTTCCTAATTTATGCATTTATTTATTCATTCATTTTTATATTATTATTATTATTATGATTATTATTATTATTATTATTATTATTATTATTATTATTATTATTATTTATTTTGAGTTCTATTTATTGAAATTTTAAAAAAAGAAAAAGAAAATTCGGGTGTCACACGTCTCCTCTCCTTAAAAGAAGTTTATCCCCAAACTTGACGTACCTTGGTTTTCAAAGAGGTGTGGGTATTTGGCCCGTATTTGGTTTATAAATTTCATAATCCTTACCTTTTTTTTTATACACTTTTTCTCACCAACACTCAAATAAAACAACAATCTATGGAGCCATGGTGGAGTGTAAGGAATTTATCTATGGGTTCCTAATTTATTTTAATTTCATATAACCATGAGTATGATTACAATCATAAAATAAATACATATAAAAACCCTAACCTGACATATACAACTAATCAAAATAATTAAAATCAATCTATCATCTTCATGTAAATACAAAATCAAACTAACATCAAATAAATAAAAATAAATAAATAA